CTGTTCTGGAAGATACGAAATATAATTCTAAAAAGTATATTAGAAGAATTAAATTATAAATATTAAAATATTTATCTTTTTTGAATTCTAAGAAATAAAGAAAGATAAATGTAAATTAAGATTAAATTAGTTAATGTGCATTGATAAAAATGTGCCCGATGACTTGAATCTGTAAACATCAATTCTCATCTAGCACTGAAAATCTAGCATCTATCAAAAATATTTCATCTAGATGGATAGAAATATGTCATATGCATTACAGAATGTTTTTGCAACAGATCTGAAACAGCTCGGAAATAACAAAATATCCGCGATTTCTGCAATTAAATTCTTAAAGAGATTGTTGAAAAAGATTACAGAAGAAATTTGCAATTTTTCTGATAATACATTATGTCAGAAAAATTGCTGAAAGTTTATTAAAATAATTTTGAAATCTCATGTATATTCTCTGAATCAGATCCCACTAGGAATCAGATCCTTGAATTAATTTTACTCAAAGTTAAATAATACTGTACATTCAAATTATATTTTATTCATTGTTATATTAAACTGTCTTGGGCAAAATTTTGGTCGGTTGCCTTCAAGGAATTATATTCTCTAGAACATGAATAAAAAAAATAAAACTTATCTTGCTCTATCTTTTACTAAATTTAACATTTATTTTACAGAATACTTGATATTTTGATTATACAAATATACCAATTTAAATTACTTTTAAAGTTCTAGAATGCATCATACGATGATGATCTTTATTATATTTTAATTTCAAATTTGATACGTAAAGAAGAATATAGGAATAAAAAAATTTTTTTAAAGTAAAAGATTATATTTTTAGAGATAAAGAAAACTAAAAAATTAATTTATCTTATTTCCAATAAATCATTGTACTAACTGTTTTTGTTTTTGCTAAAATTGATTTCCAGGACAAACACACATATTAAATCAACTGAACTAAAGGTAGGTAATATTGATATAAAGTTAATGTGAGATTGTGTATAATGATCTTTGACTATATAAATATGGACTGCTAGTCCCCCCAGATTTAAGAGCACACGTCTGA